GACTCCGGAGGGGCTCCTACAGCCCAAGCGCAATATCATCGAAGCATTCGCTGCGGCGTGCAGCCCGATCCACACTCAGTCCAGATATATATATATGCATGCAAGCCACTCGGGCACAGTCAAATTGTCCATTTTTAGTTTCAATTATTAGGAATTATAGAGCTAAGTGTGTAACCTTTATTTATTTACAAACATTTCAAGGCAGTGTCTAACTCAGGACTGATATCATGAAATATGCTAAGTATCATGGGAACAATGATAAGGATCCCTGAAGGATGCAAATGATAGGCACAAGGCCCCAAACATATTCATAAAACCCAAGTAAGGTGATTACTACAAAATTTCTAGTCAAGAACACAGTACGAACATCAATCGGAACGGACTAGGTCAAATCCCCAGTCACAATCGACCCCGCACTCGTCATAGAGTACGTGTCTCGCCTCAATATAGCGTCACAATGTGATATACCGGGGTTTCAAATCCTCAGGTCATCATCTACATCTATTACTCACCTCAAGCTGGCCACAAGTCTAGCTCGCTATGCCTTTGCCTTTCGAATCAACCTCTTCGCACGCCGAATCTGATTAAAACCACAACGAATACGTTACAATAGGCTAAAGAAACATGACCCAATCGAAAAGACTCGAAAAATACTAAAATTCACGAAGTTGGCAAAACCCGAGCCCCGGGCCCACTTCTCGAAAAATTACGAGATTTACATCACCGGATTCCCCGTCTCGCCACGAGTCCATACATATAAAATTTACCAAAATCGGAGCTCGTTTGACCCTCCAAATTCCATTTTTACATTACAGCTTTCCAAGCCCTAGCTTGACCCGTTTTTGATGAAATTCTACTGATTTCTATGATAAATTTACCATAAACTCGAGTAATTAGGCCAAGAGACTTACCTCCAAATTGATTCTCAGTCAAAACCCTCGAAAATCCTCGCCCAAAGCTCTCCAAGTCGCTTAAAAATGGTGAAAACTACCCCTTGCTCGCGGATGAAATTTAACATTTAAAACCGTTCTGTTACCAGCGAATTTCGCTTCTGCGGTCCCGCTACTGCTTATGCGGGACCGCTTCTGCGGCCAAAAACCCGCTTAAGCGATTTTCACTTAAAAACCACCTATTCGCTTATGCGATTCAACCACCGCTTCTGCGGTTCCCTCAAGTCCGCTTCTGCGGTACAGTGTCCGCTTATGCGGACCTGCTGGTGCGAGCCACCTTCCGCTTTTGCGGAATTTCCCTAGCCGGTTAACGATCACTTCTGCGACCACATACCCGCTTCTGCGGTACCGCTTCTGCGGTCCATTACCGCAGAAGCGGGAACACCAGATGACAGCAAAAATCTGACCTGCAATACACCTCAAAACTCTCGTTTAACCACCCGAATTCACCCCGAGGCTCCCGGGACCTCAACCAAAAACACTCATACATCCTAACACCTCATTCAAACTTGTTCTCATCCTCAAAACACATCAAACAACGCTAAAACCATCAAATCACATCGAATTCAAGCCTAAGTTTCTTAAAAACTTTCGAATTACGCATTCGATCAAAAACCCGACCAAAACACCTCCGAATGACCTGAAATTTTGCACACATATCCAAAATCACCTAACGAAGCTACTGCAACTCTCAGAATTCCATTCTGACCCTCGGATAAAAATCTCACCTACCAACCGGAATTCGCCAAAATTCAACCTTCGCCATTTCAAGCCTAATTCTACACCGGACCTCCAAAATCACTTCCGATCGCACTCCTAAGTCACAATTCACCTCCCGAAGCTAACCGAATCACCAGAATTCACATCCGAGCTTTCTAACTAATAAGTCAACGTTCGGTTGACTTCTCCAAACCAAACCTTCTTTAAAGAGACTAAGTGTTTCATTTGCTATCCAAACCAATTCAATTCAACTCTAACTCACCCATTGCTGATAATAAAACATGAAAGAGCAATAAATGGGGAAAACGGGGCTATAACACATGAGACGACGGGTTGGGTCGTCACACTAAGATAGTGATCAAGTTTAATTTCCTACTTTTACAGTAGACCATATTGAGATCATTAATGAATTTGTCATTTTTATTCTCAAACAAAGTTCAAAAATGTGATAAAAGTATATGGAGTAACAAAATATTCATAATTTTATATTTAACGTTAGGTCACACAAATGATAACAATTTTTAAAAGATATAGTTAAAGGATATTCTTTTCAAATTCATGCAAAATCAATAGATCAAATTCTTATGTAAAATTGAACGATCTTTTAACCTTAATAACAAACACTCATTCTTGTATTCTTTAATTCAATATTTATGTACAAAAAAATAAGTACATATTATATTCTTTAATTCAATATCTAATTCTAGAAATATTTAATAGTCCATACCCAACCACTATATATAATAGTCCATACCCAACCACTATATATAATAGTCCATACCCAACCACACACAACTTTTAAACCCTAACTCTTACCAAAACCCTTGAACCAAACAATCCCCATCCGACGAAGATATGAATCCATCTTTTGAAGTTCTGATGAAGGATTCATACATAACGCAAGATTATATGGTAAATGAGCTCTTTTTTCATTTAAAATTCTGTTTTCTTTTAAATGCTTGTGATTTTCGACTTGGTTTTTGAAGAGGGGCACATCTGGTTTCAACCAAAAAAAATTGAGGTTCAACCAAATCCAGTTTGAAACAAACAGATCTGGTTGTAATAAAATATCAAACAAACTATTTTTTTAATTTTTTTTATTAATCTCTCAACCAACCAAGTATACATAAAAAAATTGAGTTTCAACCAAATCCAATTTGAAACAAACAGATCTGGTTGTAAGCGGAGATGGTTCTTTTTTTCTCTCAAATCTTTGAAACAAACAAATCTCTCAATTTTTTTTCTTTTTGTTTGCAGCATATTCCAAAATATTTTTACGAACACCTTCCTGAATCACATAGCACAGCGGTTCTTCACTATGATGGCTAGCCTTGGTTTATGGAAATTAACATGGGTAAGCGGAGATGGATCAAAGACGGTTGTAAATGTTTTGTGATGAATAATAACATCAAGCGGGGTTGGTTAATTAACTTTGAGTTGGTCGAAATTACAGAATTCTGTGTTATCTTCCAATTGCACGTGACAGGCCGAGGAACTCTCCAAGATCCCGTTGAAATTAACTAGTTATGTTTTGTCTTCCCAGTTTGTGTTGTTTTTAACTTTTGTTAGCTTTTTTTATGTAATATGTACTTTTATTTTCCAGTTTGGTTATTATGTAATGTGTATTTTGATTTCGGACTCTTTTGATTTTCCAGTTATCAAATTGGTATATCACTTGGTATCATTTCATTGCCCTAACTACAAACCCTAACTATATAGTTGGAATGTGAATAGTTTTTAGTTCAAAAAAGGGTTGGTAACCGAAATAATAAATGCAAGTCAACTAACACCAAATTTCCCCCGAAATAAATGCAATTCAACTAACATCATTAATTACGACAATTCAAACAAAACCAGATAGTGTGGCCAAAAATAGGTTGTTTTTTTTCACTGACAGAAAATCAGGATGTTTGATACTGGCTTGGCCCCTATAAATATGGTCACATACTCAAACACTAAAGACCTAAAATACTCACAAACCCTAGTTTACTCTTCTACTAGCAGTGACGACATATCTTACTCTTCTACTTCCAGTGATATTGAAGAAGAGATTCCTCCAACTGTTGAAGTGATTATGACTGATTCATGCACTTAAAATTCAACCTAATTCTACCTACACACTACTAAAACGGTTGGGAATAATAAATGCTTCATAGTAACTAAATGTGAGTATTTTAGTTCTTAGTTTGAACTGATTATAATGTTATGAAGTCTTTCACTTCTAATCATATTTTCTTAGTGTAGTCCGATAAAATGAAGTAACAATAAAATGAAGAAATATTTAACAATGATAATTATTATCTCACACGTTTAAATTATTACAAAACAACGTCAAAAAATTCAGAAAAATCTATATCAAATCAAATTAAATAAGATTCAAACTTAAATCATCTCAAACTAAACGGTCAAGTCTTCTATCTCCCAGTCTGCTTCATCGTTAAGATCAGGCAAGCTACTGTGTGCTTGTACTGTTGCATCATCTTGCTGTATAGAGTAAATAACACTAATAAGCAATATATTTTTCGGAAAAAAATATAATAATAATTTGTTATACTTTACCTCAATTCCTTCCGCTAGCCCAGTATTTCCACCACCTCTACCACCACCTCTACCACGGCCTCTACCACCACCTCTACCACCACCTCTACCACGGCCTCTACCACCACCTCTACCACCACTTCTACCACCACCTCTGCCAACACCTCTGCCAACACCTCTACCACCACCTCTACCACCACCTCTACCCTTCATATTACCTCTAACTCCACTTCCACCAGCCGTTTGTGAACTTCTAAAGTATGAATCAATTCTCCCTCTATATCTATTCAACCTTGGACGTCCACGAGAAGCTACGTATCTAGGATCTCTTATATTTCTTCCTTCACCATCACCCTCACCCTCACCCTCACCCTCACCCTCACCTTCACCCCCACCCTCACCCACACCCTCATGTGTATCTTCAAATTCCCAATCTGGAATTATCATTTGATCATCATCCCAATTCAAAAGGTCATGCTCCAATCTGTTCAAATGATACTTAATATATCGCCTCATCACTTCGGTGTCCAATGCTATATCACAAACCCGTTCAAAATGCTTTAATAGTTCCCTGTACATCATGTATTCAGAAGTCATACGTGGGTAACCTCCAAGAAAGAAACGTTTCAAGTGCGGACGAACAACATCTTTTCTCCACCTTCTCAATATATACCTCTCATTAACGTTATTAATCCTCTTATGAGACAACACCTTAAGTATATGGCAGCATAGAATACCTCTTGTTTCAAACCACTTGCAGCTGCAACTTAGATATTCGCCAATAGGTGTATATTAAACCGCGAATACAAATGGATCTCTAGTGTTAAAACTCCTGAACGAATAATCTGAGATAATGTAATTCTCCACCCCTGTTGTTGCTTGATGGTCTTCAGGGGAGCTGATTTCACAGTGGTACAGTTTCCTTAACTGTACTTGAAAAAATTCAAACACTTCACGAGTATAACATGTTTGAAATTTTTCCTCCCATGCAAATTCAGATAAACATTTTGGTTCAAAGCACCTTGACCTATATTCAGCTTCCAATTCTTTCTCGAACTTAGCTCTTATGGCTAACTCATATTGCTGAACAAATAGCTTCAAAGTGCTTTGCCGGTTGATGAATCCGTCAAAGAAAGCATGCATTCCTTCACTTCTTTGTGTGGACAACATCCCAGCCCAAAAGTGGTCATTTAGGTATACCGGAACCCATTTCTCCTTCTCCAAATAAAGCTTATAAAACCAATCCCTTTCCTCTAAGTTATATTTTTCAATAAAATCAGTCCATCGTCTCTCAAACTCAGCAACGTTAATGCTATCAAGGACTAAAGCCTTAAATTCTGCCTTTGCAATCTTACCATCAAGAACTCCGCTTAACTTCGTAGGCAACTTTGCGAATATGTGCCATATACAATATCTATGTATTGTATTGGCATCATAGCACTGATGGCAGCCTTTATACTATCACATTGGTCAGTCATGATAGCTAATGGATGAACATTGTTTAGAGCCCCAAGCCATGTAGATAGCACCATTTTGTAACTTGTTATATCCTCACTAGACATAAGAGCACATCCCAAAAGTATGGACTGCCTATGCTGATTGACACCAACAAATGAAGCAAATGGCATATTGTATCGATTCACAAGGTATGTGGTATCAAGGCATATTACATCATGGAACTCCTCATATGCAACCTTAGAGTGTGAATGAACCCATACGACATTACGAAGTCGACCAAAACTATCCACATCTACGGAGTAGTAAAATTCCCTATCTTTTTGCTGCATGTCACTGAAGAACTTGAGTAATGATTGTGCATCCCCTTCTTGCAACTGAAGCTTTCTACTCTTCAAGATATAATTTCTACAGTCCTTTGGTGTACAACCCAGATTTTCGGGGCCACCAGCAAGTACTTCAGCGACTCTTATATTTTTTGAGGGTCTTAAGCCAGCAATATCTTTGGCTGCAAGAGTTCTCTTAAGAGACTTGCTAAGCGATCTTTGTCCAGCCATCAATCGCGATAGTGCTGGTTCCAATTGATGATTATGTTTTTTTACCACCTTTGAAACACGCCATGAACCATTCTCCTCCAAAATTCCATTTATTCTAGCACGGCAGTTCTTCCTCTTGGTAACATGCTTATTCCTTGGTTTCCTAGACCTATCACAACCATATTGCACATACCTAATAATATCATCACCTTTTTTGTTGGACGTTCTTTTGACAATGCAAAAACCCGATAATCTTGCATGTTCTTTGTAAAAATCAAACAGAACATCCTTACTACTGAACTGCATCCCAGTAATTGGACCAATTATAAGATCTTCTTCATTGAACTCACTAGGCATTTCCCTGTCCTCTCCAACTTCTCCCTCTTCCTCTAAATAATGGTCGTCGTAATCATCATCATCATCATCATCATCATCAGCAGCAGCAGCAGCATCGTCAACAGGATTTTCTCCATCATTGAAGTTGCCGTCTGAATCAATGTCGATCGATTCATCTTCATTCATCAAACTGTCGTTCGAATTCAACCCTAATGATATGTGTAATGCATTCCTTACTTGATCCGACCTAGTTTCTAGACTGTTATTCGGGTTTAATGGGTCCAAACTAGTTTCTCGGTTAGTATTCATGTTTAGGTTAAGGGAAGTGTGGTGAATTATGTGTTTAATGCAAGCTATCTTAACATAAGTATATGGTATGATATATACATAATAGACCTTTGATCTTCCCATCCGTATAAATTGCATTTAATTAAAAAAAATACGTAATTGTATTTAACAAAAATACGTAATTATATTTTTAAAAAAATGTAATTGAGCGTATATACGAAGGCCGCCATCCGTATATACGAAGGCTTTTTATCTTCCCATGCTGAGAGAATGATGATTTATGGGATCAATGTTTTGGAATAATCAAAAGTTATTAACTAATTTTGGAGGAAAATATTTTGGAGGGAAAAAAGGGCCATTAAGCCAAACGAAAAAACAAGGGCATTACTGGCATTTCACGGATGTGGTCATTTTTGGGCCACGCTGAGTTTGGCCGAATAGCAGCACTCATAAAATATCCCCTATTGTTGTAAAAGTGGACAATTTTAGTCTGACAGGTTTACAAACTCAATGGAAAATCAGTTATCGAATGAGAAGTCATTGTATTACTTGGAAATTTGAAAATTTTAGCTCTTCACAGATTCAGACAATGGATTGGGAAGTTCTAGAGCAGAAAACAAAAAAATTGGTTTTGTGATTTTTAGGTTGCTGTTGACCAAGCCACAACAGAGAATCCAGTAATGCAAAGAAGAAAGGTTTTGTCTCATCGTCGTTCTTAATTAAGGTTTTAATTTAATAGTCGCCATTAGGTTTGAGACTTCTACCGTTAGTTATACAAACACTGTTAAAAGCTAGACTAAAGATGTCCACTTTGACAAACATAAAGAATATTTCATATTTAGTAGTATAGATAAGAGATAAAAACAGTCCTAGACCCGTACTTAAGAGATTATCTTTTTTTGTTTCAGAAAAAGGCCAGAGCTGTCCCTAACCTATTCGCTTCGATCTATAAATGCCCTTCGTTTATCTGTTTTGTTAATAGTGACCCTACTGTTAAAAATCTAGTCTATTTGTGCCCTCATTTCTAACGGACTACTTATCAATAAAAAAAGATTTTGTTAATTCCACGTGGCCATTTTGACTGGTCGTTAAATATGACACCCCCAATCCATATTTCAGACCACCCATTACCCATCCATACAGAACCGACCCATCGAAAACCCGTTTAGCTCCCAAAACACCCGATTTCATATCATTTTTCACCTATTTCAAAATTGTAACGACCCGACTGGTCGTTTTGAGAATTAGCGTCTTGTTCGGCGGCTTAAGGTCTCGAGCGACTTCGTGATATGTGTTATGACTCGTGTGTGTGGTCGAGTTTGTTTTTATGATTCGGAATCGATTTAGAAGAAGGATTCTTGTTTTAAGAGTTGACCGGAGTTTGACTTTTGTGTAAAAGACTCCGAAATGACATTTTAAAGATTCAAATAGCTTTGTATGATGATTTTAGACTTAGGCGTGCATCCGGATTCGGGTTTGGAGGTCCGTAGGATATTTTTAAGCATTTTGGCGAAAATGGCAAACTTGAAGTTTTGGAAGGTTGAGAGGTTTGACCGGGTGTTGCTTTGTTGACATCGAGCTTGGATCGCGATTCCGAGAGTTGGATTAGCTCCGTTATGTCATTTCGGACTTGCATGCAAAAATTTAACGTCATTCCGGGTTGATTTGATGTGTTTCGTCACGAGTTTTAGAAGTTGGAAGATTTAAAAATTCATAACGCAAGTGCGTGACGACTTTTGCGAGATTTGGTCGCTTCTGCGATGTTGGTGCCACTCTGTTGAATCGCTTCTGCGAATGGAGGACCGCAGGTGCGAGGACGCATCTGCGGAAAAAAGATCGCAGATGCGCATTGGAGGCTCCGGATGGTGTCCGCTTTTGCGGAGTTTGAGCCACTTCTGCGAAATCGTAGATGGGAAAAGATGGTCGTAGGTGCGATCCCTGCGTTGGCAAATGAAGGCCGCAAATGTACCGAATTGTCTCGCACAAGCAAAGGCGCAGATGTGCGTGTGTGTCTGCAAATGCGGAAGCCCTAGGCAGAATCATATATTCGAGGGTTTGCCATATTTATCACATTTTTTAGTTTGAAGCTCGGGTTTTGGGCGATTTAGGAGGGGTTCTCGGCGAGTTTGATTTGGGTAAGTGTTCCTCAACCGAAAATGATTATATTTCATGATATCTTACTTATTTATATCGTTAAATCAGTGAATTGAAAGGAATAAAATGGGAAATTTTGTAGAAAAACTTTCAAAATGTAAAATGAAGATTTGAAGGGCGATTCGATATCAAAATTTGATAATTTTGATATGGTTGGACTCGTATCAGAGTGGGTATTCAGGTTTTGTTAATTTTATCAGGTTCTGATGTACGGGCCCGGTGGTTGACTTTTGGGTTGACCTTTTAGTTTTAATCAAAGATCGAAGCTTTATTATCCGGAATTATTTCCTATGAGTTTTATTTATGATTCGAAGGTATTTTGGCTAGACTTGAGCCGCCCGGAGGTTGTTTCACTCGAGAAGAATATTTTAGAGTATCGGTCTAGCTTCTTTGAGGTAAGTATCTTGCCTAACTTTGTGTGGGTGAACTACCCCTTAGAATTTGAGTCATTTGTACTAATTGTGTCATGTGAAGGCCGTGCACGCGAGGTGACGAGTACGTACTCGGGCTTAATTGTGGAAATTTGACCGTTTAGGGCTCTTAGGTTCTTATGTTCATTAGCTATGAAGTTATTTTGTCATGTTAAATCCTCCATTTATTAATTTCACCCTTATATGTCCTATTTGGAATTAATTGATTCATGTTCTACTCTTATTGCCAATTAAATCCTTATGTTCCTTAACTGAAGTTGTTGCCTCTTTATTGCCATGCTAACTTTTTCGTAATTGCTTAACCTTCATTGAAGTTATAGATTGTCTTTTCCATTACTGCTTAACTTAATTGAAGTTATTATTGTCTTTTCCGTAATTGCTTAACATTTATTGAAGTTATTATTATCCTTTCCGAAATTTGCTTAACCTTAATTGAAGTTACTATTATATTTTATATAATTGCTTGGCCTTAATTGAAGTTTGTTATCCCTTTCATTGTTGACGTATTCCTATTTGGGGTCATTGACTCATGCTATCTCGCTTATTCTCGAGTTGTACCTTTGTGGAATCATTGCTACATATTATCTCTCCCATTGTTGAGCCATTCTTGTTGAAAACATTATTACCTGTCATATCTTGCATTGTGAGCTCGTTCTTACGTTTCATTGTCCTTTTGAAACTCTTATGTTGATTTAATTGCGGTACTCCCAGGGTATTGTTGTTGTTGTTGTACTCAGTGTTGTTATGTTTTTGGCACACGTGATATTGTTAGGAGGATTATTCGGGTGTTTGCACGAGGTTTCTGCCATGCTATTATTATTGTTATTTTGTACATGCGTCATGACAAGGCGGGCTATATATGTAGGTTTGCGCATGTGGTGAGACAATGTGGGAACATTATTATTCCCGAGCAGCGAGACAAGGCAGGCATTTACTTTACTATTATGCACGCGACGAGACAAGGTGGGCTATGCTGGGGAATGATTTGTGATAACTTGTGATGGCCCTGGGACATTGTTGTTGTTGATATTTGTGAGTGGCGTACCTACCTTGAGTGAGTTTTACCCTTACATTTTGTGGTGATCGTTTCTTATGTGCCATTCATTATCCCTACTCTTACTTGTTGGCTTGAACTGGGATAGATTAATTGCACAAGAATACGCGCAATTAATCACCCATATTGTTTTAAGAAGATAAATTCTGATGTTATTGACCATTTATATGTACTCTCGTCTACTTGCCTTCTGTGTGAGAGTTGTTCTATTGACATATGAGTTGTCCATGCAGTCATGAGTCATTCTTATTGTTGGCACGTGAGTGGTCCATGCGGATATTAGATACTGTCACCCTCTTGGCACGTGAGTTGTCCGTACAGATTATAAGTTGTAATGTGGGCACAAGATGCCAAGCGATTAGGGTTCACGAATTGGGACCCGTGATTTGTGATTTTGAGGTTTGGTATCTCGTGGAAATTCTTGGATAAACCCGGTGTTCTTATTAAGATGTTACTTGTTTTCCTTTATTTGGTTTCACTGGATTTAAACTGTGTTCAGCTTACTCTACAGTGGTATTACCTGTTGTGTCTCGTTGCTAACTATTGCTTTTGGTTCCTATTACAAGCATTGTATTATTATTGTCATCATGCCTAGCTTTATAGTGATATTATTCCCAGTTAGTTCTATATTTATACTTGTTCAGGTTGTTATGTGCAGTGGGTGTCTTGACTGTCCCTCGTCACTACTTCACCGAGATTAGTCTTGATACTAATTACTGGAGATGATGGGGTGTTGCGGATGAAGGGTCGGATTTGTGTGCCCAATGTGGATGGGTTGCGTGAGTTGATTCTTGAGGAGGCCCACAGTTCGTAGTACTCTATTCATCCGAGTACCGCCAAGATCTACTAGGATTTAAGGCAACACTATTGGTGGAAGAATGAAGAAAGATATAGTAGAGTGTGTGGCTCGGTGTTTGAACTGCCAGCAGGTGAAGTACGAGCATAAGACGCCGGGCGGTTTAATTCAGAGACTTGAGATTCCCGAGTGGAAGTGGGAGCATATTACCCTGGATTTCATTGTTGGGCTCCTACGAACTTTGAAGAAATTCGACGCAGTGTGGGTTATTGTGGATAGACTAAGCAAGTTTTCCCACTTCATTCTAGTTATGACGACCTACTCTTGAAAGAAGCTAGCTTAGATCTATATCTGTGAGGTTGTTCTTCATCATGGTGTGCTGGTATCTATTATCTCCGATCGAGGCACGCAGTTCACATCGTATTTTTGGAGGGCTATGCAGCAGGAGTTAGGTACATGGGTT